TTAACTTCAAGGTCTGTGATCACCTTGAATTTATTCTTGTGCATGGAGTAAGATAAGGGTCTGGCTTCATTTTTCTGCAGGTAGATATCCATTTTTTCCAGCACCACTTGTTAAAAAGGGCATCACCTTCCCATTTGATATTTTTGGGGCCCTTATCAAAGATCAGTTGTCCCTATGTTGATGATTTTATTTCTGGGTTTTCAGTTCTGGTAAAAAGACCTTTCTGCAACACCATAAACAGTGACTATACACCCCAAGCTCTGTGGCATACGTAGGAATACAGTAGGTACTATACCTGTGGAAACAGAATCAGTACAGTTAGACCTCAAGGTTGTACCCTTTTACCATACTTCAAGGTCTGTGAGAAGAATGCATCATCGGAATGGGAGGAAGGCTGAATAACAACCTTGCTGAAAGCCACAGGACTGGAAGCATTGAGATGTTAAAGAGTGAAGATGAGAGCTAAGGTGCACCTGACCCAAGCCATGGTATTTTCAGTCTCACCAATCATGAAGAGTAAAGAGGAATGAATGCATTTGAATTAGTGTTGGCAAAACATATTGAATATATTAAGAATAAATGACTTGGAGCAAGTACAGCCAGGCTGCTGCTTAGTAACAAGGATGTGTCTGGACACGTTATCAAGAGAGACCAGTCCCTGGAAACGGACATCATATGTGTTAGGTAGTAGAGGGTCCGCAGTAAAGAAGATCTTCAAGGGGATGGGTTGACAGTGACTGTAATAATGGACTCAAAGGTGGCAACAATTGTGAGGACAGTGCGGGACTGGGCAGTGTTTCATTCTGTTGTGCATAGGATCACTGTATTTTGGAATCAACCTGAGGTGCCTAATCATAACAGGTCCAACCCGTACCCAAGGGGAGATCACACAAGGTCATCAATACCGGAGGCAGACTTACTCCTTTTAAGGATGTAGTGACTGTACATCACATGTGCAATGCTAGCATGCTTTCCTTCATCTTATGATAATTCATATGGTTAACACCTGCTGTCTGTACATTTTTAAAGTTTTATGAGTTACTTATTTTAGTATGGAATGAGCATTTTTAATATGCTCTTTCTGTTAAGGTAAGCTATTGAAAGTTCTTACAGATGTATTTGGATTTTATTATTAGTGCTTTTGTTATGGTGTTATACAAAATTTCTAAAGTTAATTCAGCAAATTACCATTGAAATTCTATGACATAGGTCCTGTGAGGACTCTAAAAAGATAAAATGTGGTAAAAAAAAAAAAAGATAAAATGTGGGCTATGTCTTGGAGGAGTTTATAGTATGGAATGTTGGATAGACGAAATAAATAAAAACGACCTTATCAGAAGTGTAACAAGTATTTCACTTGAAACTAAAATAGAAGCTCTGAGAGAGCAGGGAGTCCTTCGCACTTTTGTTCATTTCTGTCTCCCCAGTGCTGAGCTCTTGAATGGATGACTAGGCTGAGCCCTGAATCCACTGGGTGTTGATGAGTGCTAGATCGGAGTGAAGGTGGCCATCTCTGACCTCCTCTGGCTGCCCTTTGAGCAGAGGTCAGACTTGCCTTTATCTCCATCCTTCTTTATTCTCGCACCAATCATTCCTCCCATGGCACCCTACCAGATGTTGCCGGGTTCAGTAAATTCGTTAAAGTGAATTATTGGCCACCCAGAACTCACAGACAACACTCACAGCTAAGGGGATTTATTAAAGAAGTTAACAGTTTACCATAAGTCAAGATCAGTAAACAGGAGACTGTCATTGGGCCACAGCAACCAACACCTCTCCTCAGCCAGCAGCCAAGTCCCTCTCTGGTCCTCAAGTTCTCAGCCACCTGGTCTCTTGGCTCTGCCTCCGTGATCCAAGGAGCCCGCCTGCAGCTCTGCCGCACAGCCCTGTAGTCTCGGTACTGCTCCTCTTCTCTGACTCGGCTTCCTTGCCTCAGCCTCTGTTCCCAGCCTGTCTCCTTGCTCTGTCCCAAAGTCTCTGTGTTACAGGATCTGTCCGTCTGGGCCTTCCCCCCCCAGTTCCGGCAGAGATCTCAAACCCGCTCTTCTTCCCATGTTTCTGGGCTTTCTCTCTGTGCTCCTGCATCTGAGCTGGCTATTTTTTGAAGGTGTGGTTTCAGTCTTTCAGCAGACCGTATCCCCAAGGAAAAAGGATGACGATTTATCTACTAGTAGAATCTAAAGATGCATCCCACCTGTTGTTTGTACCAGAGAACGATAATCAACCTGTGGGTCACAACCCCTTTGGGAGTCGAACGGCCCTTTCACAGGGGTCTCCCAATTCATAACAGTAGCAAAATTTACAGTTATGAAGTAGCAACGAAAATACTTTTATGGTTGGGGGGGCTCACCACAACATGAGGAACTGTTTTAAAAGGTCGTGGCATTCGGAAGGTTGAGAACCACTGGATTACAGCCACAGGTACCTCTCTTTCTACCTGCCATCGAGTCAGTGACACACACACACACACACACACACACACCCGCCGCCCTCCACTGTGGGTTTCCAAGACTGACTGTTTTCAAAAGTAGAAACCCCAGTCTGTTTCCTAAGGAGCTTCTGGTGGTTTCGAACTGCCGACCATGCGATCACAGCCCAATTCATAATCACGACACCACCAGGCTCCTACTAACCACAGGCAGAAGAGTCCAGAATTAAAATACATCACATAAGGAAGTATGGCTAGAAGCCTCTTTTTAAAAAAATCATTTTATTGGGGGTTCGTGCAATTCTTGTCACAATCCACACATGCATCCATTGTGTCAAGCACATTTGTGCATTTGTTGCCATCATCATTCTCAAAACATTTGCCTTCTACTTGAGCTCTTAATATCAGCTCCTCGACTAATTGACTACATCTCAGTGTGTCAAGACACCAAGCCCTGAAAGGTGAAGTAGAAAGATCAATGGAAAAGTGTTGTGAGGATAATATTGAGTTGGAAATGAGCATAGCATGGCAGTGGGAAGCCTGGATAAAATGCAGAATACATCTCGGAGTGGTTGGAAATAAAACGAGGTGAGGGTCGGATCAAACAGTGGTTTGCTGTTTTCCATGAGCTGTTAGAAAGCTTGGGTCTTACTCTTGGAAGAGAAATTGGGGAGGGGAATGCGGAGAAAGGTGCTCTGTTTTTATTTCAACTATTTGACTTTTCACTTGTCACTATTTTCTGTGTCGCATTTGGTACACACTGTTACTTGGTCATTTCGCCTCTTTTTAGAAAATCTTGAGTGTAAGTATATTTATGGTAAATGTGCCTACTTTAATATAAAGTTACTATTTATGACACTTAGGAAATCCATCTTAAAATGAAAAGTCCTCTTATTGAGGGCCTCTATATTCCAGAGCAGTGCTAGAAAGTGCAGTTTTCTTTGTAGCGAATACATAAGCGTGGGGGTCGTCACCTTGTATCTCCTGTCGGGGCACCAGAAGAGGCGGGCAGGTGGTAAACATGTCCCCTGAGCGTCGGGGCTGACAGGAAGCTCCTCTAACCACGCCAGACGCGGATCACAGCACGTGCAGCTTCGCAACTTTCTCAGGCGTGCTTCAAAAAGATATGTGTAATTATTCTTCCAAAACACAAACATGAAAACATTTAACACCAAGATCCAGAGCATTTTTTATACTGACTTTTTAATCTTTTTCCTGTCTTGCTACATTCACTTTAGAAAAATGCATCTTTATGTGTGAATTATTTTTCTGCACTGCCTGAGTCTAACGCTGCTTCTTCCGTGGCATGTTTTCTCTGTTCTGTAGCAAATGCCAGATGTGAATGCAAGCTGGGATGGATACGGCCCAAAGCAATTGCCCTTTATTGACATTTCAGTGGCTGTGGCAACTGACAGAGGTTTAATTACACCCATCATAAAAAATGTTCCTGCTAAGGGTATACAGGAAATTGCTGATTCAGTGAAGGTAAGTCTTAAGAAAGGCATCTTGTGCTTTCAGAATGTTATGCTTTCTGATAAAGTGTAATAATGACCTGGCTACTCTGGCTTTTGTGTTGGGTGGTGTGGTTTGGGTGTTTCCAAGTGATCGTCAATAGTGTTTGTAGGTTTTTAAGTTTTTATTCAAATAGGATCCATCTTGAGAAAATTCAGAAATAATGTCCAAATACATTAGAGGCCAACTGCGTTTAAATTATAGAAGATTTCTTTCACCAAGTCTAGTGCTCAGCTCTAAAGATGCTATATTTCAGACAGGAATTTTACGTTTAAATAAAACTCAAACTACAGTTCTGTGATCATGGTAATAGACAAACCTCAAGTTCACAGCAAGTTTCTCACTGAGGAGATGATCCTTGTAGACCTCTGTTTTCACAGTACGTGAGAAGCTGCTCCTGAACTCCGGGAAATGATTGCAGCCGTGAATCTGTTGAACTCTGGGCGTGAATCTGTTGAACTCTGGGTGTTGCTTAAGAAAGCATAGAATCCCCCGATCTTCCTTTAATTGACTCTGGCCTTCATTTCTTGGACGTTCTATGGCTTCCCGATGTAAAGCAGCTCCCTGATAGGCTATCATATTACCTTCTTTCACCGTCATTGTAGGTGCGCTAGGTCTTGGAGCATTGGCTTGTCTATGTTCTTTATTGTTTATTGTTACATACCATCCTAGACAATTATTGGAATATAGTAGTTGTTCAGGAAGTGTTTACTAGTTTTTCATGTGGTTTGTGTGGACCTCAGGTTAAGAATGGCTGTTTAAGCATTCGCTTCTAGACCCTCAGAAATCCCAAGGATATCGATCGCTGTGAAAGGATTAAAGACAAACCCTAGCCACACCCAGGTTTGTATTCCCTGAGTAAATTAATACAGCAACAGCCTATTGTTTAGCTGCAGATCCTGTGCTAGCCTTAATTCCTCATGTATCACAACAAGCTTTTTCAGCGAACCAATAAGGCACGTCATCTCTTGTTAACATCCTTTCAGCAAGGTGCATCAGGTAGCATGTACTTTGATTGTAAGTTCATATTGCCGGAATATCCCAGTGAGAATTAGGAATTTTCTGAACTACTGACCCGACTCAGAACCTCTACTTAGCACAGACTCAGAGTTTGGGTTTGGAGGCAATGGCAGGAATATCCTGCTGATGTGTTTGGGGTCCAGAGGGCTTGAGGTGGTGTTTTTAATGTAGCACTGAGGTTTGAAATCTCGTCTTTAACATTCATTTTGTGTTTGTTTGTTCAAGTCCAGTAACTCCTCAGGGCATGTTGAGAAATAGTACTCAAGGCTCACATGATGTGTCTGTGTTCGAATCATGTGAGCCAGTCTGTTGCTATGGCAGGAAAAATAATTCGAAGATTGCCCTCTCTGCTCCTATGCTCTAAGGACAAGTCAAAGCTCAGCATTGCAGTTTTGGTTTGGGGTTTGAGATTTTTTTAAAATATTTTTGTTTTCCAAAATATAATTATCTGGTTTAAAGTTAAGTAATTGTCACCTGTGATTGTAATAGTGCTTTTATTGAATACATAATACAGAATATTAGGTACGCTTCAATTAATTTTCTCAAATGACAGTAACTTAATCTATCTCTATCTTACCCATTGAGAAAGCAGTTCATTATTAATTTTTGTATATGATATCTTAATCTTTTCTCCTTGATTTTGATGCATTGAAATTTATGAATTAACAGGAGTAGAGCTAATTGCAAGTGCATGGAAAATTTAACTACTTTCTCGATATCATTCTCTGTGTCGTCTCTTTCTCCTCTGCTGTGTTAAGTTTTAGAATTCAGTATTGTCAAAAAATCATTCATAAAAAAGTAACCAAAAAGTGAAATATAAAATTTTATTTTTCTTTAAAGTTGTCTAAAATATATATATAGTTATTGAGAGGGATGGAAGCAAACCCTGGAAGATGGAAACTGATTTTGTCATGGGATCATTGGGGTACAGTTTTAGTTCCCATTGGCTAATGTATTTGAAACCTACTAGGTTGACAAGAATGGCAATATTTTACAAGAAAAAATTTTACAGCTGAAGCAGAAAACTGCTTTCTACATACAGAAAACACTGAAGAGTTCTGCGCAGAATGATCCATACTCAATTCTAGTATTTGGAATTTTTAAAGGGAAGTGATTTTTTTTTTTTTAAACATTTTATTAGGGGCTCATACAACTGTTATCCCAATCCATACACACATCAATTGTGTAAAGCGCATTTGTACATCGTTTCTCAAAACATTTTCTCTCCATTTAAACCCCCGACATTAGGTCCTCATTTTTCCCCTCCCTCCCCGCTCCCCGCTCCCCCCTCCCGCATGAGCCCTTGATAGTTTATAAATTGGTATTTTGTCATATCTTGCCCTGTCCAACGTCTCCCTTCACCCACTTTTCAGTTGTCTGTCTCCCAGGGAGGAGGTCACACACAGTTCCATGTAATGGTTCCCTCTTTCCTACCCATTCTCCCTTTACCCTCCCTGTTTTGCCACTCACACCACTGGTCCTATAGGGCTCATCCGTCCTGGAGGGAAGTGATTTTTATAGCATTTTGATTTTCCAATCTTAATACTCTTGGATTATCTATGCTGTAAGTTATGTATTGCGTTCATTGCATTACATGGAGAAAGCTATTTATAGATAAAACCCGTCATGAGGTCAAATCAAACATATGGAGATGGCAACATACCCTGTTCAGTTCTGAGGGTGCTTCAAAGAGTGTGTGGCAAAATGGAATTAAAACCAGCCAGTGCGATCATGAGGTGTCGACAGGACCAGGTAACAGGCATCAGAAGACCCAAAACAAACAAGCATATTCTTGAGAATGAGGGGGATCAGAGCAGAGACCCAAAACCCATCTGTAGATAGTAGGACATCCCCATCACAGAAGGGACAAGTCAACCAGGGTGCATTGTAGCACCTACGAGACACATAATATTCCTCTGGGTTCTTTGAGGCTTCCTCACCCCCCACCCCAGTTCTGCCTTTCAGTCCTGGTTAGACCAGAGAATTACACTGGTACAGATAAGAGCTGACCACACACAGAATCCAGGTCAGATAAATCGCTCAGGAACAGAAATGGAAGTAACAAGATCAGGAGAGTAGGGGGAAGGTGGGGGGAGAAGAGGGAACCAATCACAATGATCAGTGTATAACCCACCGACCCAGGGGGACAAACAACAGAAATGTGGGTGAAGGGAAACAACGGTCGGTGTAAGATATGAAAATAATAATATATAATTTATCAAGGGTTCACAAGGGTGGGGAAGGAGGGGAAAAAAGAAGAGCTGATACCAAGGGTTAAAAAAAAAGGTAATGGAGTTTTTCCACAAACTTGTTGAAGCCCCTTCATCTTCCAGGTGTTACGGATACTGACAGGATTAGCTATCCATCCTGTGTTGTTGGTCACCATGCCCTGTTTGTATTTTCTGCAGGCTCTTTCCAAGAAAGCAAGAGATGGAAAATTGCTACCAGAAGAATATCAAGGCGGATCTTTTAGGTAGAGTTCCCCTGTTCCTTGTTGGAAGCCACTGAATTGGCTTTGACTTACAGTACCCAGTGTCCAGTAGAAGGAAGCACTGCCTGGGCCTCACCTGCATCCCTGGGCTTGAGCCTCGCTGTCGCCCTGCGTCTTGAGGGTCTACCTCCTTTCAGCTGACCTTCCCAAGCATCGGACCCTTCTCCAGGGCACTGCGCCTTAGCACATGGCATCTATTTATCAGAAGCAATTTTTAAATCTTAAGCTAAATACCACATGCTTTATTTAGCTAAATACCACATACTTTATTTAAAAATATATATAGAGAAAAGCATTTATAGGTCAGACATCTTCTGAGGTTTTGTTTATTTCCTGGTAAGTGTGTGTATATACACAGAATTGTAGGTGACATTGTTTCATACATTTATGCCCTAAATAATTGCTGCACACACCTTATATCTGTACTTATATGTCTATTATCCAGTGGCATAGCAAAGTACATTCACTTAGTAATTTTGCAACTTTGTCTATCAAGTCTTAAATTATTTATGTATAAAATCAATTATCTGAATAGTGACCATTTTTTGTCTCTCTTTCAGTCATTATGCTTTATTTCTGCTTGCCATATTCCACTGGATAGCACTTTCCATTCAATGCTGAGTAAATGTTTGATAGGAGATATATTATCTGTATGTCTAATTACTTATGTTCTTTGGTATTTGAGTAATTTGATAACAGATTTAGTTAGGTTGTTTTGTTTTTTTATAAAGTAAGGTTATTTTAAGGATTTGCTACATTGAGCTTTGTTTTTCTTTTCTTCCTTAGTATTTCCAACTTGGGCATGTTTGGCATTGATGAATTTTCTGCAGTGATCAACCCCCCCCAGGCCTGCATCTTGGCTGTGGGGAGATTCCGACCCGTTCTGAAGCTCAGTCAGGACGAAGAGGGCAACCCCAGGCCGCAGCAGCACCACTTGATAACGGTCACAATGTCAAGTGACAGCCGAGTGGTAGATGACCAACTAGCCACCAGGTTTCTTGAAAATTTTAAAGCCAACCTTGAGAATCCCATCCGGCTTGCTTAATCCTCCAAGATAGGAAGTTGGGCCTTGGCTCGGCGGATTTTATAGGTGTTACCGAGAAACGATAGCAAACAACATTTAAAGGCAATGTGGATGAATTGTTTATTTATTTAAAGCGAAAGAGTCTGGCCTAAGTTGTCTTTATTGTCAGTCTGGGTTTCCTGTTGAAATAAAACTATGACTAATGAAGGAAAAACACCATTTGCTTAGGTAGATCCTTTTTTTTTTTTTAACCTCTGGTGCTGTACAAACGGGATGTTTTGCAGATGTAAATCCAGTGACATGCTTGCTTATATGAGAGCGTTAGAACATTTAAGAATGTATGCTAAATTGTGTAATAAAGAAATTGTGTGAAATTTAACTCAATTGTGTTCAAGTTCAAAATGGTCTTCCAAGAGATGACCATTAATCTAGCAGTGACACTTCACTTTTACAAGTCCTGCTCTAAATGCACTTGAACAATTTGGTATGTACAGAAACTTATTCTGGATAATAGTAGATTAGTAACTAATAAGAATCAAATCAAATTAGGGTTTGTGACAACATTATTGAATTTTATATGTGTATAAAGCCATATATTTTAGAGTGGTTTCTTAACATTCTGATTTTTCACTTCTATAACACTGTGAACTTCTAAAGACAAAAAATAAAGAAGAGGGAAAGACCAAGAGAGGGGGGGAGAGAGGGAGTGTGTGTGTGTGTGTGTGTGTGAGAGAGAGAGAGAGAGAGTATAGTGCAAATATCTAAATTTTCCATTGTGGGCTGCTCACCTTCATGCTGAATTGGGAAATTATGTAAATAAGCTGTGTTAACGCCTAAAAAAAAAAAACATGTTGTTAGTGTTGACTTAAACACAAAATGTTTCTTAATGCATTTTAGTCACATTTGTATTGTGCAATAAAATACGAGAAAATACAAAATCTTTTATTGTATCTTAAGTGTTGAAGCTTAGTAAAAACTGGAAGTAGATCACTCGTTTCCTGCACTAGTCCAGCAGTGACTCTGTAGGAGGTAGTGAGTTTTAGAGAGTGATTGTGAGAAGGTGGTTCTCCAAACAGAGCTAATGAAATCTATCCTTAGTCATTTGATAACTTTTACCGATTATTGTAACAGAGAAGCTTATTTCTCTTTCTTATTTATAAAGTTATTACATGTTGCAAGATATATGAGTTTAATAGAGTGATAGTCAGCAAAGCTTAACTTAGTGTCTACTGACCTGAATCACAGAAGACAATCTGGTAGAGTATATGGTATGACAGTGTCCACAAACCCTAACAAAAGTACTTGCTAAACCGGAGCCCCACTCAGATCCATGGTCTGGGTGACATGGGCATATGGGCCCATGGGCAGGCGGTGGGCATCACATAGCTCACAAGGGCAGGATTCTACCTCCTGCTGTGGTGATTGCCCCCTACAGCCTTAAAAGTCCGCCCACAGCCACCTGCGGTGCAAGTATTCACGTCTTTCCATCCAGAAGAAAGAAGAGTGGCCGAAATCGAATGGTGCATGGAAACAATTGGTCCAATGGACCATCATTCTCACCAACCCTAGACTAGAAGGACTGGATGATGCCTGGCGCCTACTGCCAACCTGCCAACTTCTCTGAAAAGGCTCACATGAGAAGATCCTGGATAGATGAGAGAAAACTGGGGCAGAACTCAACATCATAAAAGAGCAGACTTCTTACTGGTTACAGCCTGATGGAGCCCTCGAGACTATGGCCTGTAGTCACCCTTCAGGTCTGGAAAGGAATCCAGAATAACCGACCGTCTGAAATCAGAAGGGCTATACTGACCAAGCAAAAAGTTCACTGGGTGATGAACGAGAAATGGAAACAGCAAGGCGTGATGGTATATTGAGGAGATGGCAATAAATGAGTTAAAATGTGTGTGATTGTTGAATGTAAAATTGAACTAATCTACAAACCTTTGCTTAATTCATTATTTTAAAGTTTTAAAATATATACAAAATAGAGCCCCGACAATCCATTGTTAAGTAGATATTTAACCTAATTATTCCATTTCAACAAACTAAATCATTTTTAAAACACAACTATACTGAAAATTATAAATAAATAGTATTTTCAAAATAACTCTTTTACAAGTAGTAGTATTTTAACGGGCAGTTTTAACTGAAATTATTCTTTTCTAGTTTATTTCTTTCTATATCCCACCTAAATCTTTATGTCTGAGCATAAGTGTGTGAAATTATCGTAATCTTGCATGAGGCCGCCAAAAATAAGGCTGGGTTTGGAATTCTCTTTCCCCATAGACCACAGACCGACTTGCATGCACTGCAGTCTGTTGGGTTCCGTGTGGGTGCCATGGAGCATACCTCTGCCCCAGCCATCTTGTAAAGAGAGTGCTTGTGCACGTCACAGGAGAAGTGCTGTGTCCATTGAAGACGTTCTCATTCCTCGTGGACATTGCAGGGTGCTCTGGTGGCATCATGGTTACGCTTGAGCTGCTAACCACTAGGTGTGCAGTTTGAATCCAGCAGCCACCCCGTAAAGGGTTACACTACTGGAAACTCCCCGGGGCAGTTCTGCCCTGCCCGGTGGGCTCGCCATGAGTCAGAATTGCATCGATGGCAGTGAGTGTTTGTATGTTTGTTTTGTATGGACATCACAGCCAGGGTTTTTAGGAGCTTGTTTAATTTCTCCTGCAACTTTTGGTACAGGTGCTTATTCTGTCTAAAATGTTTCTCCAATATGTCTATGCTGACCATGTTCATAAGAGGAAAGTGTCCTTTCTGAAAAGGAATCTTGCCGCATCCATCAGAGAGGAGCACTGATTGGAGAAAAGGCCATGGTAGTCATGACGGAGTGAACTGGTGTACGAGCAGGCTCCTTTCCGCATTGTTCATTTAAACAGGAGGCTACCTGAATGAAGTACTTGGAAATTTCCAAAGGAAAAGGTCACACACATTCCAGTTAGTATATGGAAAATATGAAAAGATCGGTACTAGACTTTTTAAGTAAAAAAATTGCTGGTGTCTGCTTGCAACTTCCAATTAATATTTACAAACAGCTTGCTCACTCAGCAATTGTACCAGATTAAAAATAGCAGTATATGTCTGTCAGATTCCTTTACTTGAAGCAACACCAATCTATGCTTTTATCAGTATTTTATATGCAGTGTTAAATGCACCTTCCATTTGTAGAAAAGAATAACTGTGTTTTAAATTTCATACTAAATTGTGCTGGAAGTAAACATTTCATAATCTTATTGAAAGATAAATGGCACTATGCATCAATATACATGCAGTTATGGGAAAGAGAAAATGACATTTAAGCATTAATTTTCAAGAAAAATTTTACGCATTGCATCCTGAAGGGCTTTGTCTTATGCAAAGTGAAGTAAAAAAACCCAAACATGTTGGAGATAAAAAAGCACCCCTTTTTAAAGTATGACATGCCTTGAGCCCCTCCTTTGACTTTACAAGGAGAATATAGCAATACAGAATAGCTTTAAGGTTAGTCTGACCACAAAATGCAAGAGGAAACGGAGTGGCCTAGAGTCACTCAAGAACCAGCTGGAAGCTTTTGCTGTCACGAAAGCATGAGTTAATTAATGTCTGCATGAAGTCAGGGGCGTTAGGAAGGGAGAGCAGCATGAGGGACATTTCAGCGTTGGGCAGTGCTGTGCTGTGTTAGGGGCTTTGGGTGGGGTGTGGAGTCAGAATACCTAAACACTGATGGAGCGTCCCAGTGCAATCCCCCATGGCCGCATAACCAATATCAAAAGGAGTAAGCTGTTGATGCATATGTCCAGCAGATGTTCTGTTTCAGAACTCACAGTAAACTATGTCAGTGTGAAAATTCTTTTAACAAAATACTTTTAAATAGATGGTTTTAAATTTTCTAATGTGGAGTGTTTCAGGAGATACAGACCATGCTGAAGGTCAAGTATAGTTTGTCTCAACTTGTAATATTGGCAACACCATTTGATCAAAATTATAAAATATAAAAAATGTATTTGAAAAAAATCATTAGTCTTTGTTGGTTGCAGTCTTATTTCTTTGATCATAGCAAGTTTATTTTCATATTTATCACTTATACTTTCATACTTATCAATATATTTTCTTCAACAAGCAGCCTCATTCTTCTGCAAAGGGTGAATACATTTTAAACCTCTGGTTTACCCTTTACTACTTGTACATCCTATGGATAGCATCAAAACGTTGTCAGTTACTGAAAACCGCATGCGTAAAAACAACATTGCACAGTTAGTGCCAGAAGATGATCCCTTATCTTGGAAGGCATTCAAACGATGACTGAGGAAGAGCTGCCTTTTCAAAGGAGAGTCAACCATAGAGACTCGAATGGACAATAGATGTGGAGGTGAAGCCTCCAGAACCTTCATTTGCTGATAGGGAACAACTCAAAATGAAAGCAACAGCTGCAAACATCAATTAATAATTGGGACCTGGAAATTATGAAGTATGAATCTAGGAACGGTAGGTCATTAAAAATGAAAGCCATAAAGATCAGTATTCTAGGTGTTAGGAAGTTGAAATACACGTATTTGGGCATTTTTCCATCGGAAAAGCATAGTTTGCTATGTTAAGAATGACACGAGGAATGGAATTGCATTCATCGTCAAAAAGGACATTTCAAGAGCTGTCATGAAGTACCGTGCAGTCTGAGAGTCTGTTCTTTCAGTCTGGCGGGTAGTCTATTCACCTCCACAGAAATCCAATCAGGTCAACTATTACTCAAGTTTAGGGACCAACCACTAAAGCCAGTGATGAAGAAGTTGAATTCTATGAATGTCTTCAGTCTGAAATTGATCAAACATGCAATTAAGATGCATTGATAATTACTGATGTTTGGAATGCAAAAGTTGGAAACAGGAAGTAACAGGAATTAAAAATGTTGGTCTTAGAAAATGAAGCTGGGGAGAACATGATATAATTTTGCAAGACCAATGACTTGTTCGTGGCAATATTTTTTTTTCAATAACACAAAAGGTGACTATACAAATGGACTTCTCCAGGTAGAATACCCAGAAATCCAGCAGCTAAAACAAGGCCAGGACCTGACTGTGGAACAGACTTCAGTTGCTCAAGTTGAAGAAAATTAAGTCTATGAGAACTAAAATATGACATTGAGTATATGCCACCCAAACTTCTCAAGAAGAAATTTGATGTATTAATGACAGAAGACAAGATGAGCTGTGGGATGACATCAAGGACATCATTCATGAAGAAATCAAAAGGTTATTAAAAAGACAGGAAAGAAAGAATTGATAAAAATAGATGTCAGAAGAGAGTCTGAAACTTGCTCTTAATCGTAGCTTAGCTAAAGCAAATAGAAGAGATGGCGTCAAAGAACTGGACAAAAAATTCAAAGTACATCTTGAGAAGACAAAGCCAAGTATTATAATGAAATGTGCAAAGACCTAGAGGTAGAAAACAAACCAAAAAACCATACTCAACATATCTTGAAAAAATTCAAGCATCAAGTTACTGGAAGATTTCATGGACAAGATATTGAACAATGAAGGAAGCATCAAATGAAGAAGGAAAGAATACATAGTCACTATACTAAAAAAACTAATCAACATGCAACCATTTCAAGAGGTAGCATATAAGCAAGGATCAATGGTCCTGAAGGAAGATGTCCAAACCACTGAAAGCATTTGCTAAAAACAAGTTTCCAAGAATTGATGGAATAGCAATTGAGATGTTTGAACAAGTTGATGAGACATTGGAAGCACTCATTTGCCTATTCCAGGAAATGTGGAAGGTAGTTACTTGACCCAATGACTGAAAGAGATCCATAGTTGTACTCATTTCAAAGAGAAGTGACCTAACAATGCTCAAGTTAGAGAACAATCTCTTTGGTATCGAATGCAAGTAAAATGTTGCTGAAGTTCATCAAACAGTGGTTGCAACAGTACATATAGAGAGTTGCCAGAG